TGGGACACTTCAGAGTCCAATAGCTTAACCAACTTTGAAAGCTAAGGTCACTGATACCTCCACTACACGCGTGCCTTTTTCTTAGTGCGTTACTTTACCGATTTTAGAAACAATGCCCTTTTAAAATCTTTACCTGATCAATTTATTGATCGGTGCGCCAACATTCTCAATGAAGAATTCTTTCATGGAATCTACAACACTCTTCCCTGTCCGTTTTTGCCAGTCATTTTTCATGTCTTCTGTTATGTCCTTATAAAAGTCTTCCTTAAGAAACTTCGCTACAAATTCTTCTTTTAGTACGCCTGAAAAAGAATAGGTTATTACTTTTTCCACAATGCGTTTTGTTATAGTTACAAGCCTGGCTGCTTACCTGAGAATTCTGCATTGTAAAAGCATTCGTTCTTTAGTTTCTGAACTAAACGAACTTATTTATTAAGCAAGTGATTGGAATCATTCTAAAGACCACATGAAAGATCAGAAGAGAATCACTTTCCTCGCGAGAAGAAAACGCGCGAGTGTGAAAGAGGCCCGTGAAGGGATTACCTAGATAACCTCTTTTTTAAAAGGGAGTTTAACAAAACCACGACGGCGACGGCAACAGGATCGTCGCTAAACAAAAGGTTTGATGAGCAGAACAATGGCTGTGCACGTGCGTTATAATTCTTGGTACATTTCTTTGCCGTCCTCTGCAAAACAACAATGTGAAATGACCAAATTCTGCGTTGTCTGGAAGACGTGAACGACGCCCTTATTAAATTCAGTTTCTGTTTCGAGTTTATCGCTGTGTTCCATATTCAGTTACGAGTTGGTTTTGACAGTGACAAACAAACTAAATGACTTTAGAGTATCGCGAGATTCGTAGGTAAAGTATAAGTTCATTTTTTAATCGACGTTGTCCGCGGCGTCGCCGTCGTGGTTTCTTAAACTCCCTATCTCGATAAACCTATTTGTTTCACCAAAGACGCGTTTCATTTTTCAAATTGTCCCAAAAAAACTAATATTCTGGTGCGCAGCTAGTTCCGTTACACGTCAGAAATACAAACAAGGCTGGTAAAGGCTTAATGGAAGAACAAAATTACGAAAAATTCAAACTCGACTTTTGAAAAGAGTTTTGCTTTGTGGTTCTTGAAACTATAAAAAAATCAAAAACGAATTTTTCAATTCTTTTTATTGAAAAGGTCTCATACCATTTTAGACCAATATTTACTATTAACAGTGTATCAAAAGCAGCAACTGAGTTGCACAATAAAGATATTTAACAATTGCTTTGGCGCTGTTTAAACGACGCTTATTAATAAGTCATGGAGGGTGGAGTTTTTCATTTTTCCTCGTGAAGTGTAAATTCAGGAGAATTGGTCCCATGCAACAGTACCTCTCTCCTGACATCATTATTTTATTTCCAAGCTGGATTGCCTTTTGTTTTCCAGAACGCTATCATTTTACCGTTTAAATTTCTTCTATGTAACAGTTTCATTATAATCAGTCAGTATATTAGCTGTTCCTGATTAGCTCTTTGGTTGATTGGACAACATACGAGGCGGGCTCCCTTTTAATTTCCTGGCTAATTCAACATTGAGTGCTAAACTAACTGAGAAGGGACATACTAAACTTGCTTTTTACAACTGCTAATCACATTTTGCACGGCATTTCGGATCCTAAAGAGGAGAATTGAAGTACGGAAAGCCAACCATTTCAATTTGGCATTACAAGATTTAAAGAGATGCCCATTTCTAGTCGAAAGGATCCACATATTTCATGCTGCGATAACTGTTCTGTTTCTTTATAGACGCTTGTGACTCCGCAAAAACACACGTATTTATTGAACTCAAAAAATTACAAATGCGTAAACGTTTAGTCTACACATCTGTTCAAATTGCTCTAAGGATATTTTCAATTTTGCAGAATAGATTAAATTGACGGTTTGCTTTCGTTGGGTTAAGTAGTCCTTTAAAGGACTACTTTGTTTTTGTCAGTTTCATTTCACACAGGTGCAGTTAATTAGAGAGAAAACATACCTTCTTTGCTAGAGGCAATATGGCTGAAGACTCCCTTGAAGGAATCCAGTCCCCCTCGACACTCTTCAATGGAGCCCACCATCCCTGTTTTCACGCCCAGTTTCACGTTTTCCATGTACTGAGTAATCGATTTATTGTAAGCTTTCAGGACGCCATGAATGACTTCCATGTCGCTTATGTTTCGAGGTGCGAATGCTGCCAAATGATCAGACATTTCTCTGCCAATAGAACAGATTGGCTGCCAACAGAAAAAATTCGGGCCTAACATCCAATCACCCGCGTAGTAATTGCCATCGTAAGGTTGTCCGAAGACATGCCGAAGATAGAATTTCATCTGTGATAACGCTTTCCTCTCGCGAAGTTTCAGTTTGGTTGCATCGACTTTAGTCGCGTTGATCTCCACGAGTAGTCGCCAAGCTTCGTCGGTTCTTCGTTTAATCTCGGAAGGGGTCGGATCGTAGGGCTTAAAATGATGGCGGATTTCCTCATTTGTCGTCTGTGGCTTAAAAATTAGTATGTGAGGATTTAGCGTAAATACTTCATCCTGGATTTTCTGGAGCATTCTGTAAAGCGAAACTCGCACAGCCTCCTCTGATGGCGCGCAAACATCGGAGATCAGTTTTTCAGTTCCGTTTTGCGTGCGTTTTCCAGCGCAGTTTTCGTCCTTGTCCTTATCTTTCGCGAATGAGATTAAGACAATTCCAATTACCAAGCATATAATTCCAAGAAGAACAATAATTCCGACGATTAAACGCTGACTGTTACAGCTTCTGGAATTCTCCATGTCGACATCTTGGATATCGGAGTCACCTTGAATTGCAGCAATTGAAGGGTTTTTTACCATAAAACTGTCCAACTCATTGCTGTCAGCCGAAAATGCAGTAGCTGTAGAATTCTCTGCCATGTCTGCTCCTAGGTGGAGGTTCGCAGAGACCGAAAACTGCAAGAACGTTGCAGGGACGTGATTTTGCCCGCCTAACTGTCCACCGCGGGTCGATATAATTAAATAAAGTACTCAAATATTCAAGCTAGTTAGTTAGTGCACAAATTAGATTGTATAACCCCCTTCGGGGAACATCTTACATCACGCCTGTGATTTGTAATATTTGATAATCTTATCACTTTGAAATTCTCCTTGCTTTGATAGTTTCCAATTCTCAAAAACGATGCAACTAGAAGTAAACAGATTTTAGGGTGTGTGCGAAGTTGTCACCGATTTTATTTTAAACAATCTTGGCCGGAATGAATTTTCAGTGATGACTAACGTAATCGAAAACTTTATTGCCTCAGCGAAAATTTTGATATGCAGGTGAATTGGCGCAATAATATCTCCAAGCTATGGTAATTGCCATTGTGTTAATTATTATTATTCAAGTTATTTTGAAAAAGAAAGGTTCCTTAATTAAAGGGAAAAAAGACACGGCAAAAGTTGGTTTTAGACAAAACCAATCTGCACTTTTGACTCTAATCCAAAATTAGCATTAGAATGTTTTTACGACAAATTTTAAGGCTTAAAAAGCAATATCGATTGCAGTTGAATTTCCTGGTAAACAAAGATAGAGGAAATTGGTAAATGTTTGCACTGCAAGATCCGTCTGACATTTTCGGAACCCTGCAAATTTACTTTATGGGCGCGACATTTAGAGGCAAATATCATTTCAGCTCGGTAGAGAAGACACAATTTCCGTTCTTATCCATCTTGAAAGGGTTTATTTCCTGTTGTATCACACTGCAACATTCAAATTTAATTCTATAATTTTTGTTTGGTAACCCAGTCCTCGTCTGTTTTTATTTGCGTTTGAAACGTTTTCTTTGTGATCTTGTTTGCGTTTGAAGCGGTCTTTTTGCGATAACAATCAGGCAAAAACGGCCTGCATTCAATAAGGTATTGATTTTGGCGAATTAGCTCGTTTAATAACACAGAATCGAGTGCGTTTTGGGCCAATTCTGTCACAACCACCTGTCAGTGTCGTGCTGTCTTTACGATACTACTGGGCTTAAGGGATGCATCAAAGATTAGTAATCAACACTTTAAATAACCAAGAATAAAAAGTCAATACCGACAAATTATATGCGTTGTAAGGTCTGTTTAAAAGTCAGATCACTCCAAAACTTGGAATACGTAAAATATAGTTTGGGACTAGACCATTACATAGTTGGGTTGCAAGCTCTTTCTCGTTAATTTTTTTTTCTGTTAAAAACCTTTATCTGCTTTAGCATTCAGTTTTGTAAGGAGCCATAAATATTTGAAGAGTTCACTACAGTACTGCCCTACAGGATTTTAACCCCACGCAAAATTTCAATGTTTAGACACACACCCACACAAGAAACCGTATACAATTTATACATTAGATAATTAGAACATACAATCGACAAAAACCGCAGACAGAATTAGCGCTGTGATCGGTGAAGTTAATTTCACACACAGAGCATTGTTCAGCATTGGTAACTGATTAAATGTTTTGTTTTACAGAAAAGACTGACTTGACAAAAGTGAAATCTTTCACTCAGTTGGTTAGGATATTAGTTCACTGGAACCGACGTACATTATTCTCTCAACAAGCAAGATGTGCAGGAACAAATAGGATTTGGACCTAACAGCGAACTGTTTCCCTGGGGCAATGTTTTGAACTAGCAGTTTGCCGAATTCTCTTCGTGAGCTGTCAGTCTTAGCGGTCGGTATTCGGCAAAACTGTTCGGACCGCTCAGATAACCAATCAGAATTTTCCTTTTAATCGCAGACCAGTTCGTCATAAACATGACAAACGTGCAGTGAGTAACAGTATTTATTTGAAAATAATGCAATAAAATGTTAGTTTATAGAAGTTACAATATTGTCAGGTATAAATGAGATGTAGAACAAGTGACTGCTGTACTCTGTCATGGCGGTCTACCAGCTAGTGTGAGATACACCTAGTAGGCTCACGCCGAAGGAATTTGAAAACGGAGCTTTACAGTCTCCGGTTAGGCCCTCCGTCCACACCAATCCGTAACGAAAACAAAGCTTTTCGAAAACCCAAGGAATTTGGAAACACCGACTTTGCGTTTTATTGTGGACGGAAAACATTTTGAAAAGGGAGCTTTTCGAAAATGATGCCATGACGATAATCATGTGATTTCCAAGCCCAAGTTTTTCTCAAACGCAAATCTAAAATGACCGGGGATTGTTGCGTTTTCTAATTCCTCCGGTGTACTGTGGACGAAAGACATTTCATGCGTTTTCAGAGTGAAAACTCCGTTTTCAAATTCCTCCGGCATCGTATGGGGGAGGCCTTTGGGTCATTGAAATTAATCCTCTGACTCAATGTGTCGCTAAGTAAGTTCCAAGTAAGAGGTCTTCCCTCTCAACTCGCACACAGTGACTAGAAGACACGTAGGGGCCAAACCACCCCCCTAATGTTTCATGAAGGCTATATTTGCTTGGTTTATATATTTCTAAACCAAGTTTGGCAGATGGGCTTTCTTTGTTCTCCAGTTTATTTTAATTTGGAAGTTGTGACAAAATGTCAGATTATGACGTCATAATTGATGACGTCACCAAAACGTGCTATAATTT